AAGCATACAAAAGAATTAATGATGAGTCTGAAGCTATTGCTAAAAAAACTAATAGTAGAATTGATATGCGTAAATCTGGAAATTATACATTAATAACTATAAAATTTTTCAAAGAAACTATTTTAGCACCCTAAAAAAGTGAAAAAATAAGTGAACAAGAAAGTGCATAGATAGATTTAGCAACAACTAGTGCTCTAATATTTGCAGAAAGATATGAAGGAGAAGCTAATCAATACGATTTAAATTCAATGTATATATTTGAAATGATAAAAAAAGATGCATCATGGCCAATTGCACTAGGTAAGTTTCATACTATAAACTCATCTTTTACAAAAAAATGGAGTAAATTTCCATATAGAATTTATAAAGCAACAATAGAAAGAAATCTTCCAAAGAAAAGTCTTCAATGTACGAGATATTTATGTTATAATCTACATAGAATTTACACATATTATGATTTAGAATATGCACAAAAAAATGGATTAAAAGTAACATTAATGAATATATCACCAAATGCACTTATTTATGAAAAAAATATATGTATAACAGGAAAAGACATGTTTGGTGAATAGAGTAATATATTATACAAAATTAAAAAAGAAGGTGGAATAGAAGGAAAAGTTAGTAAAATATTATTAGTTTCATTATAGGGTGCATTATGTAAGCAAAGAAATGGACAAAATTATGGTTTACATCTATGAATAAAACTATTCTTATTAGCATCTGCACAAAAAAGAATATCAGAAATTGTAAAGCCACTAGAAGATCAAGTAAAACATATACATACAGATAGCTTTATTATAGCTAGAAAAATAGAATTTAAAACAGGAATAGAAATAGGTGAGCTGAAATTTGAGAAAAATAGAGTTTGTGTAGTAAAAAATTGTATATCAATTACATGAAAACTATCATATTCAGAAATTCCAAATTTGATTATTTTCAAAGAAAATGAGCTTCGCTCTACAAATAGTTTACTAGATTTTGAGAAAATTCAACAAGATAAAAAGCAGAATACAATATTAGATACAGAGTATCCTGCTTTACAGACAGCAAAAAGGAAACTATCAAAAAAGTCTGATATAAATCTTCCAAATGAAATTATAATAGAAATATTTCAACATTTATGAACACAAAATAAAAGATTATGTGATAATAATGAATTATTGTTTCCAGTTTTATATATTAACAAACAATAGAATGAATGCGCAACATATTTAATATAGAGAAGGATTAAATTATATAGATATAATATTAGAAATTTTGTCAAAATAATAAAAAAAAAACTATTACTGAATGTGATAAAATATATAAAACAGATAGAATTCGAAAGAATAGATAATTATTTTAATATAAATGAATTTCTATTAGAAGATATTACAAGTATATGCCAATATATAATAACTATATCATTTAAGGATTGTGTTTGGGGATTTCTTAACAATAGTTTACTAAAGATAATATTGGATACGTGCAAGAATCTAAACCATATATTTATCTATGGAAGTAATTGAATAGCGCCAAAAATTATCTTAAGTATACCAGAAAAATATACAAGTATAAAAACTATAAAAATACAAAATTGTGAACAAATAACAGATAAAATAGTAAATCAATTATTGAGCAAATATCTGAAAATTGAAATTAATAAAATAGAAGTTGACTCACGAAATGAGAATGATATTACATCTCAAATTATAGAAGATATATTTGATGAAGACTAGTTTATGGTAATAGATGAGTAAGTTAAAAAACTCATTAGAAGATAACTGCTTTTTTTCTTACATGTTTGAAAATAATCTAGCTTTGAGTAATGAAATTATGAGAAGGTAGGATAATAAAACTCGTATTGAATAAATTTATATTATATAAAACAAAATATAGAGTAAGTATAAACCAAGTATGACAGACAATAGTTCAAGTTTAATAAATGAGCAGGGCTCAGAGTTAACGATACAAGATATTATATAGAAAATGATTGAATCAGCACAAATCAAAATAATAAAAGTGGTCTTTCGTCTTCAATATAGAAAAGATAGTAAGCTTGTTAGTGAATATACTAGATATGTAAAAAATTTGCATAATGCTAACAATCAAGATGAGTATATATAATATACAGCAATAACGCTTTTTTCAAATGATGAAGTATATAATAGAAGAATATTAAGATATAGAAAATAGTATCAAGGTAAAAAAGAACTACTTACTAGTATAGAAGATTTATATAATCTTTATTATGAGTCATCCAAAAAAGATCGGCCTATAACTGAAACAGAAATTGAGGAAGCTGTTGAGAATGTACTTATAGATGAGTAAATTATTATTTGAACACTCATGTGAGAGAAAGTTCAACTTTTTTAATTAATTGTAATTGCTCACAAACAAATTTTTTTTCTGGTCCACTTTTTAATTTATACATAACAGGTTAACCTTTACGAATTAAAGTACTTTCAATCTGATAAACCTGAGAAGACTAATTTTTATCTATAATTCGTCTTATAGGTGCACTATATTCTAACTCACCAGGTTTAAGTAAATATTGAACAAAATCTTTATATAACAAATGTGGTTCATCAAATCCAACAGGTCTTCTACATTTTACTGCTGGCTCTACAAATATTTTTTTACCTTTTAATGCTCTTTTTATAGCTTCATTAGGAGTTATATGTATTAATCAAGTAATAGTATTATTAAAAGTATTATCATTTATATGAAGGCCTTTAATCCAAGCTCTACATCTCTCAGTTAATAGTAAACAAAAATCAATAGCATCTTGTCTATAAAAAGCATGTTTTTCAAATTCTTGATGATCACGTTCAGCAATAACAACACCTTCCTTAGTTACAGCATACTGAATTTTTACACTATGGCTAAGTAATAAATCTTTGCACTCATCTAAATATTCAGTGTCTT